TAGGGAAAGCTCAACAAGTGCAGCAAGTCAGCCCTCCTGCCAACTAACATCACCACCACCATTTTTTCACAGCTCTGGGAAACATAGAAAGGGACAAAAAGATGGCCAAGAAACAAAAGACTTGCAGGGAAAAATTTAAAGAACAAACATGTCAAGTGCTGAACCACAAGCTTCCTGAAAGCAGAATAAAGATATATAAAAAGGAGAAGCAGAGAGAGAATCAGGATGTATAAAGCAGTAAAAATATGCAGGATATCAGAAAAGCATAAGAATAGGCAATAATCAAAGAGATTTTTTGAAAAAGGTAGAGAAATTCTGCAGAGAATCAAAAGACTAAAAGGAGAACAAGCAGATCCAGGCACTTTGTCTGCTTTTAAAGTTAATTTAGCGAACAAGCAGTTCTCAAAAGGGGAAAAAAAGTTAAAATAAAAACCTGCTTGAATTTACATCAAGGCTGGATTTATCTGGCTTAGCCTAATTAATGTCATTTAAGCCAAGACAAAATTAATTTGCTGTAGATGAAAAAGGACTGCTCTCTCTTTTCCACTTAAGTAAGTTTATTGAAGAAGTTGTATATATTTAATTCAGGTTCTTTTAAAAAGATAAGCCTATGAAGAAGTCCAAACAGGCTCTGAAACAGGGCCAGAAAAGTTTTGCATTTTTAAGTCTATTTTTCATGTCAACAGAAAGTTATCTGCTTAAGCAGAAAATGGATTGCAGTTAGTAATTCTACATTAAGTTTTTGTAGAGCCAGTTATCAACACATGAAACAGAGAAAAGAACTCGATAAATGGGATTAGTTTCACCATTTGAAAAGTGTTCAAATTACGGTGCCCCTACTAAGTTTTTCAAATAAAGTCTTACAGCATAGAAAACATCATCTTCAGAGAAATCAAAATTCTATTGAATTTAATCTAACCTTTTAATGGCAAGATTATAACATTTTTGTATGTGATCAGAGTAGGGAGCATTACAGCCCCAGTGTATATACTTTTAACATATTTTTGCCCTGTGGAGGAGGACTTGTGGGTGGTGGTTGATGAGGAAGTGAACATGAGCCAGCTTCAGTGTGCTCTTGCAGCCCAGAAAGTCAATCGCATCCGGGGCTGCATCAAAAGAGTGACCAGCAGGTCAAAGGAGGTGATCCTGCCCCTCTACTCTGCTCTTGTGAGACCCCACTTGGAATATTGTGTACAGTTCTGGTGTCCTCAACATAAAAAGGAAATGGAACTGTTGGAGCAAGTCCAGAGGAGGGCCACAAGGATGATAAGAGGACTGGAGCACCTCCCGTATAAAGACAGGCTGAGAAAGTTGGGACTGTTCAGCCTGGAGAAGAGAAGGCTGCGTGGAGACCTCATAGCAGCCTTCCAGTATCTGAAGGGGACCTACAAGGATGCCAGAGATGTTCTTCATCAGGGACTGTAGTGATAGGACAAGAGGGAATGGGTTTAAACTCACACAGGGGAAGTTCAGGTTAGATATGAGGAAGTTCTTTACTGTGAGGGTGGTGAGGCACTGGAACTGGTTGCCCAAAGAAGTGGTAAATGCTCCATCCCCAGTAGCGTTCGAGGCCAGGTTGAATGGAGTCTTGGGTGACATGGTTTTTTGTGTGGTGTCCCTGCCCATGGCAGGGGAGTTGGAACTAGATGATCCTAAGGTCCTTTCCAACCATAACTATTCTATGATTCTACATTGTTATATCTTTCTCCTAATGTACACATTTAGTAAACACCATTAATTTTAATATTAACAATCCGCCAAATTTGTTTATGCAAGAACAATTTCATCCAAGTATTAAAAACATGCAAATTGTACTTTTTAAATAATTCACAACTATTCAACCAAGGCTTCACTTTGAAAGCTCCCTCCCCAAAATGTTGTGTTATCATAAAATCATTCTAGTTTTCAGTTGTCAAATTGGAACTGAAAGATGCCTGCAAAGTGGAAAGTCAAGCAATTGCACTATCCCAAATTGATCAG